TTTTTTTTTTTTGTAATAAAGTGAAGATGAAATTTCTGGGGGGAAAATATCTAGAAAGGTCTTGCTATGCAGTTTAGGCTGGCCTTGAACTGGTTGCTATCCCACTGCCTCAGCCTCACAACTGCTGAGATTACAGGTGTGCACCACCATACCTGGCTTGAATCCTGAATTTTTAGGTATACACTAAGTCTAGCAACCTTAATTTGAGGGATTTCTAAATCTTTTCACATAATGCCAAGTGGTTTAAAAAGCATCATTTATTCTCATGAGCCTGCAGTCTGGACTGAGCTGCATTTGATGGCTGTTTGTCACTGCAATTCTGGGGGCTGCCTGCCTCCGACAGCCTTTGTTCTGGGTGTCTCTCATCTTCCTTAAACCAGTAGACAATGTCCTCATAGAGATAGCAGACACACAAGAATAAGCAGAAACAGTCTTTAAAGACCTATGTTCACTGCTGGCACAGTCAGTTCTATCCACGAGCCTTTTGGCAAAAGCATATCAAGAGAAGGGGAAATGTACTCTGCCCATCAAGAAGTCAGCAAATCAGGCGTGGTGGCATCTGCCTGTGATCCCAGCGCTCTGGGAAGCTGAAGCAGGAGGATCACAAGTTCAAGTCCCGCCCAAGCAATTTAGCAAGACCCTATCTCAAAAGTATAAAAAAAAAAAAGGCTGAGAAGGTATAGATGGAGGTTTAATACCACTGCAGTATACACTTTAAAAAGGTCAAGATGGTAAATGTTATGTGCACTTTAACACAATTTAAAAATTAGAAAAATCTTGAGTATAATAAAGCAAACTGTGAAGAGGTTTCTAACTTAATAACTAGAATATTGATCTTACAGGTTAGGGCTGGGGACTTAGCTCAGCGGCAAAAGCACCTGCCTGGCAAGTGCAAGGTCGTGAGTTCGGTTCCCGGTAACGGAGAAAAACCAAAAAAAAAAAAAAAAAAAAAAAAAAAAAAAAGATCTTACAGGTTCTTCCTGCCTCTCCCCCTTGCCAATCTTCTGGGACACTTGGAATTTTTCCTAATTATACAACCTCTCATCTCTGCATTTTCAGACATACTATTTCTTTTGCCTGAAAAACACTTCCCCTCTCTCTCACTTGGGTAATCTCTCATTTCGACCTATCCTTCAACTCTCAGATTATATCTCACCTCTCAACAGAAACCTTTCCCTGGTTATGTGTCTCTTTCCAATGTGCCCTCCAAATACCAGGCATTTACTTTTACCATCATGTGGTTATTTATCTGTGTGTTTAATCACTGATAATATTAAGCAATGTATTTCTCTCTATCTTCCAGATAAGTTTTTTACTGTCTTTAGCACCTAATACTAACCTGACCTAGTAGCAGGTAATGTGGCAAAATAATTTACCTCTACAATTAGGCAAATTAAATGGGAAGAGGAGGGGCTGGGAATACAGCTCAAGGGCACAGCACCTGCCTGTCAAGAGCAAGGTACTGAGTTTGACTCCCAGTACAAAAAATAAATAAATAAATGGGAAGAGTGTCAGGTCTCCAAACTAGACCCCTGCCCAGCTAGGAGAGAAAAACTCCCAAAGCAGATCTGTTATTCATACCTGCAGGAGCACCTCCTTCAAAAGGAAGCCAGCAGCTTCCCCATGCAGCTCAACTAGCTAGCAGCTGGTCCACACAACCCGACCTGCAGAGAGCTGATTCCCTGAAAAACCACAAGAGATACGTTGCGCCTGCCAGCACCCCCACACCCAATGCTGCCCTGTCTATCAGTTAGCTCTAGACCCCCTACTCAGAGACCCAAAATTTTGTACCACCCCCAGCTACCTAAACTCCCCTATAAAACATGCTCTTCCCCCTTGCTTGGGGCCAGTGGTCTTTTCGCCCTTGGCCTGGCCACACCAGGCCTGCAATAAAGTCCTTACATGTTGCTTAAACTCTGCCTGTCTCAGTGGTCTCACCTGTGTCTCAGTTTACCCCAACAGGGAGGAATTCATAAAAACTAACAAAAATTAATTTTTCTAAAAAGTTTATTTATACTGACTAAAATCTTAGGAAAATTTTAGCAAAATCAGCTGACACCATTTCTTTATAAAATGATAATAAAATACTTAAGGACTTAAGGATTAATTTATTTAAACTTAAAATATGACATACTGAGATAAATGAGAAAATATAACATTTTTCTATTGGGGGGCAGTGCTTGTCTACCATACATGTTAGACAACTGCAAATTAGAGATAATTTGATGGCAGCTTTATCTGATAAGCTGCACAATGCTACACACACATCCTGTTTCAAGGACTATCCATCCACCTGGGGCACACTACCTGTCAAGGTCACACTAAATCTTAGCTGCTTGCCTGGGGCCCTGACTTCCCCTAGACCTTTCTGCCTCATGATAAATGGCCCCCTCCAATTAATCCTGCCTAACAATGTGTGACCAAATATAAGTAATGAACCATAGACTAACCTGTTATTGATTCTGTACTTCCTGCTTACAAAATGTATATAAGTTGCTATTTTACTCTGAGCCAGGGCTGATGATTTGGACGTGGTTCCCATCAGCCCATCTACATTAATAAAGTTGCCTTCCTAACTACTTGGTGCAGAGCGTTTTCCATCCAGTTTGCTACAATTTAAGCAACAAGACCTTGTTTCAAAATAAATAAAACAGCTAGAAATGTAACTCAGTGACACAGTGCTTGTCTAACGTGTGTGCCTGAGTTCAATTCCTAGTACATGGACAAAAAAAACTTATACTGAAAAATGCAAGACACTGTTGATAAGAAATTTTGAAAGATTTCATAAATGAAGGTATATACCTTTCACACATCCCAAGTTTCAATATGATACAATATCAATTCTCTCCAAGTTGTTTTTTAGATCCACAATCCCAGCAGGCTGTTTGTTTGTTTTAAATAGAAACTGACAAAAAAAAACTTATCTGAAAATGCAAAATGATTAAAACATTTTTAGAAAAAAAAGAGCAAAGATTGACCTGGGCAAGGTGGCACATGCCTGATGCCTATAATCCCAGCACTCAGGAGGCTGAGGCAAGAGAATCACTGAGAGTTTGAGGCCAACCTGGGCTACAAAGTAAGACTCAAACAGAAAAAAAAAAGAGCAAAGATTGAGACCTTACACAAGATGATTTCAAAACTTACTATGAAGATATAGTCATTATGATATTGTGGTACAACATAATAGAACAAAACAGTTCAAAAATAGGCCAGTCCACACATATATTTTCAACTGGTTTGTTCAAAGGAGCTAAGGTAATTTTAAAAAGACATGATATTTTTCTAAACAAATGGTACTGGAACAATGTGATATTGAAAGAAAAGAAGGGAAGGAAGAGAACAAAGAAAAGAAAGAAAAGACAGAGACCCTCCACATTGACTTTATATCATATGTAAATATTAACTTGCACAGAGATCTAAATGTAAAAACTAAAAACTATAAATCTTCTAGAAGAAAATACTTGTGACCTTAGACTGGAAAAATATCTTAGAACATAAAAAGCATATGCCACAAAATAAAATGTAGTTTGTAATAGCTAAATCTTGGAAACAGCCCAAATGCCCATCAACTAATGTATGGATAAAGATGTGGGTTTTTTTTAATACAATAGAGTACTATTCAGCCATAAAGAAGGATAAACTTGAGACATTTATAGGTGAATGGATGCACCTTGAGACCATATCCTTAAGTGAAATAAATCAGAAATACATTGCATGGCTTCTCTGATGTGAGAAACTGAAAATGCAAATAAGGACCAAAATCTGTAATAGATATTGGGAAATGGGAAGAAAATGTTCAAATGAGAAGAGGAACAGGATGGAAGGAAGAAAAGGACAAGAAAAAAAATAGAAGGAAAAAATGGAAACAAAGGTTTTATAATTAAAGAGGGGGAGAGGGGCTGAAGGGAAGGGAGAAGAATGGGAAAAAAGCAAAATATACCATGTACAGGCACAATTCCCCATGATGAATGTTATCACTATGTATATCAAAATTATACCAATAACTGTAATAATAGAAAAAAACCCAGAGATATCACTTCAGCTCCTATAGAATAGCTCTGATAGAAAGGATAATAAGAAGTGTGATGGTGCATGTCTGTAATCTCAACACTTGGGAGGCTGAGGCAGGATGATCACCATGAGCTGAAGGCCAAGTTAGCCTATTTAGCAAGACCCTGTCTCAAAAAAAAACAAAACAAACAACAAGAAAAGGGATAGTGCTGGGCGTGGTGGCACATGTCTATAATCCCAGCACTTGGAAGGCTGAGGCAGGAGGATCACCATGAGTTCAAGGCCAGCCTGGACTACATTGTGAGTTCAAGACCACCTGAACTATATAGCTATACCCTGTCTCTCATAGGTTGTAGCTCAGCACTTCCTGGGCTCAATCTCCAGTATCAAGGTAGAGGTGTGAGTGTTGAATGAGAAAGCAAATCAACTGACAGAAAACTAAAGGATTTTCATGATGCAGTAGTAAAAAGATAAGTCAATTTGAAAATAGACAAAAAATGTTTTTTTCTGACACTTCACTAAAGATATACCAATTGCAAATAAACACATGAAAAGATGTTCAATATTATTAGCCATTTAGAAACTCTGGCAAAGATTATAGCAGTTTCTTGTAAAACAAGCATACATTTATCATGTTACTCAGCAATCCATTTACACAAAAGAAATAAAATACTCCAATGCTCAGAACAACTTTATTCATAAAAGGCAAAGCCTGGAAATGACCAAAAGTCTATAATTTAGTGGATGGATGAATAATTTCTCACATTCTATACAAGAGAATACTACTTAGCAATAAAAATTGTCCAACTACTGCTGGGCATGGTGTTGCACACTTGTAATTCCAGTGCTCAGAAGGATGAGGCAGGAAGAACATGAGTTCAAGGCCAGCAAGGGTTAATAGTGAGTTCAAGGCCAGCCTGAACTACATAGTCAGAAAACAAAACAAAAAACCTGTCCAATACTAATAGGTACAACATGGATGTATAACAAAAGCATTCTCAGCCAGGCATGGTGGCATACACCTGTAATCCCAGAACTTGGGAGGCTGAGGCAGGAAGACTGTTGGGAGTTCAAGACTAGCCTGGGTTACAAAGTGAGCTCAAGGCCAGCCTGAACTGCATAGCGAGACCTTGTCTCCATCCCCGCCCCAAAAAAGCATTCTCGTAAGTGCAAGAAGCTAAATACAAAAGGTTGCACACCATTACTCCACTTTTATGAAATTCTAGCAAACTAGAGATTAGTGGATGCCAAAAAATTTGGAGAGAAGAGGATGACTACAGAAGGAGACAAAAAAACTTTCTCCCTTTTATTTTCTATTTATTTATTTGTGGTACTGAGGATTAACCCCAGAGGCACTCTACCACTAAGCCACATCCCCAGCCCTTTCTTTTACTCTTTTGAGACAAGATCTTGCTAGGTTGCCTTGTGGGATTTAAACTAGTAATCCTCCTGCCTCAGCCTCCTTCAGAACTAGGATTATAGGCACAAACCACAACAGCTCCCACCCCTTACTAGCAATTGAACTCAGGCCCTTTTTTTAAATTTTAGGGCAGGGTCTCACTAAGTTACTGAGTTATCCAGGTTGGGTTGGGAGTTTTGATCCTCTTCACTGAGCCTCCCAGAGTCTGGGATTACATATGTGAGCCACCATTTCCAGCTACAAAAACTTTTTAAGGTGATAGAAATGTCCTATATATCCTGCCTGTAGTGGTGATTACATTAGGGTATACACTTACCAAAGCCCATCAAATTATACACTTTAAGTTGGTGAGTTTTATTGCATTTAAATTATATCTCAATGAAATTCATTACCAAAAATAGTGATGAATTCACAGTTTTTGACACATAACTACAAAATGAATTTTAAATCAACCATTTTTAAGTTTTAAATTCAAGCATTTCCTACATAATACCAAAATTAACTCTAATTAAGATGGGCAAGTCACCATAGGGCATATACAGCAGCGATTGTCTTCATCAATTACTAATTTGTCATAAAACTAAGTTAAAGAAAACCTAAGATTTGCCAGAAATTATCTAAATGTATTACAGAAAAAATAAATTGCCAAAAAAATTTATTGTAAAAGAAGCAAATTACAAAGTACTACTCATTTACACAAGGCATAATAACTTTAAATATAAAAAGTAGTTTCTCAATGTGTTTCATAATGCAGTACAGTAGTGAGTTTTTAATGGTAGGTTAAAAAGTGGTTTTCAATTATGTTTTTCTAAAAGATATACTGTTTGTAACAAAATTATACAGTTTTCAGCAACAAAGGTTGTAGTTAAATTATTCATAAATACTGAAGAAAGGTGTAAAGCGAGAATAAAAAATTCTGGCGTGTACCCTGCTTTCAGATGCTTTGACAATACTATTGCACTGCTAGCTGTAAAGTACAGTAGTGCAATAAAGTCAGAGCATTCGTTAGCAGTAATAAGTAGAAAAGGAACACAAAAGTATCTTGCGTCACTTGAAGCTTCAGTGTAAAAAGAATTTAATGTTGGGTTGCCATTTTGGTCAGAAGACATCCAAAAACCTAAAAACATTTATATCAATGCTTATTTTTCTTAAAAAAAAAAAAAGAATGAGTCGTAAATATCAAAGTGCTGTGTTTTTGATGACTAACCTATAGTTAACATTCAAACAGAAGAAACATGCAGAGATATAGCAGAATTTTATTAATATGTTCTAAACCTTAGTAGTAATTAAGATAGGTATTATTAATACTCTAGGATTGGTATTAACAAAACCATTTACAATTACTACTAAATCAAAGTTGTGTTAAATGTTTCTATTTTCTGTTGAGATGGTTTGTTGGTTAGCTCCTTTTGCAAAGCAACTGATTACATGCCATATAAAATAAGCCCTTTGAGTAAGTATGTTGAAGAAAACAAATGAAAAGTAAAATAAAGAATTTTTTCAAATGTCTACATACCCAATTAATTACTCTGGATCCTAAACTACACTTTAGAAAACACAAAACACTTACCATCTTATAGCTTTTTGTCTCAAAAGTTTATAGAGGGCTATTATTACAAGGAAGAAGACACCTAGGGAATCAACTGGTGCTAAACTGGATATTTACTGAGCACTATAGAAGAGGTTTTTAGCATTTCAGTTAACTTTCACATTATCTTAAATATAGAAGACATGTTGATTTCCTTTGAATGTAGAAATATCAAGAGGAAAACAATAATGGGGTGCCTGAGACTTAAATACCAAATTTCCTTTAAAAAAAAAGTTTCCTTAAAAGTCAGATGTAAACCTAGAAAGTGTCACAGTATCGCACTATGCTACTGTTTGTGTACAATCAGTAGTGGACAAAAAGAGACCCCTAGACATATGCCACTCAATCAGTAAGTGAAGGGAAAAAATTAGAGGACAAAGATACTCTACAATGAGGTTATTCCTCTATTAGTAATGTTGATTGATGCTGAACTACATTTCCATTATTTTCACCAACCTTCTTTTAAATGGTCCAGTTCAGCTACTTAGCTGGATTAAACCTACCAAGAAATGGACTCAGATTCAGGACAGCTGGAACTTGAGAGTCTTGGCCTCAAATCCTGGGCCCTATAACTCAAATATTAGAATATTTAACTCTGTTAAACCAAGTATCAGGTTTCAAAGTCAAAGAAAAGGAAATGTTTAACTTTCTGAATTGGAAGCTAACACAAACAAGAAAAATATAAAAAAAATTAAAGTAAGAACATAAGGCTATTTACAAAATTAGGATTATCAGTTTCTTTTTCAAAGTGAAATAGTATGCATTCTCTTTTCACCTACCAAATACTCAATACTAATTCCTTGGCAAATCTTTTATTTAAGTAATACAAAACCAAAAACCAGAAGATTGCACAGGAAATCATTGACTTTGGATCCTGGAAACTATACTGGTTCACAGATTTTTAAAAAAAATTTTGATGAACATAGAAAATCTGCAGATGAGTATTATCTTTTACTATCTAGTAAATACAAAGCAGTAATACTAAAAAACATGATCTAAAAGTACATTTTTAAAGTATATAGTTTTAAACCCAATTTACGAAAACAATAACTTGAAAGGGGCAAGGGAAGCTACCACTAATTTACTTGAAAGAAATTTAAGACAAAACTTGCTTCATTTTCTTCCTCCCTTCAAAAAAAAAATTAAATTCCCCCAATTTAAACAACATCTAAATGTTTAAAAGTTTGGCTACCTCGTAAGTTTCTAAAACCTACTCTTTTCCATATTACTTAATTGTTTTTCCCTTAAAATAGAATCAGTGCAATCTAAAGAAGTCTTATAAGAACATTAACCCTATCGCAAAGGCTACCAAGAGCCGGAAAATTAAAACTCTCAACTCAATTAATTTTTTTTTTTTGGCACTCGGAATCGAACTCAGGACCTTGGGCTTGCCAAGCAGGTGCTGTGACACTGAGCTACACTCCCGGCCCAACACGCAACTCAAGGAGAAAAAAAAAAAACCTGTTAAAAGCAGAATTAGCATCATTTACCATTAACAATTAAGCAGAAATATCTGTATCTGAAAGGAGGAATTCAAAATAGTGGGGGCAAGATACAACATTTATATCTGTTGATAGAATCAAACTGAAATACTTAACACTGTTTTGTATTTAAAAAATAAAATAATAATAACTTTAAAATTCCCAAACCTGATCTAAATATTCATCATTGGAAGCTTGAAAAGCTACATAAAATTCTTCGGTCTTACTGCTCCCTCCCCTCCGCCACCCTGTCCCCATTCCCACACTCCCTACACACACTCTGCCACCCTGTCCCCATTCCCACACTCCCTACACACACACACACACACACACACACACACGCAATTTAAAGCAAAATTTTAAAAGCAATGAAAAACCAAAGGAATTGAAAGCCTTTAAATCAGTTTGTATATAAGAAACACTTCAATTCATTAACAAATTAAAGGGAAATGAGATAAATCAAGGTCTCGGATTTCTGGGGTAGGAATCGCAGGTAGGACGGTACTCTGTACATTCCAGGATCCCCACGCATCCTTTCCAAGGCAGAAACTAGACCCAAGATCACCTTGGCGAGAGCAGCCTAGGCACAACCGATACCCAAGTAGTCACCCAAGTAAGGAAGGGAGGTGGAGGAGCCACCGATTGCGGATGGAGAAAGAAGTTTCCTACTTCGCCAAATTTAATCTTGGGATTTTCTCTAACAAAGAAATAAACGACAAGAGCTCAATGAATACTTTCTCCAAACCCGCTATTTTAAGGGAGCCAGCTCCAACTGGAAAAACTATTTAACACATGGGGAAAGGACTGAAGACAGAACAAGAGAAGAAAGAAAAAAGCGCGGGCTACGGAGTTGGTAACGTAGGGATGTGAGGGAGGGACAAGGGAAAACCCTGAAAACTAGAAGGACAACGCAACCGGGGCGCCTTTCCAGTTCCCCCTTGCCCTCCTCTGCGAAGGACGAGCGAGAGCGGGCGACTCCGCAGCAAGGCGCCCTCCGGCCCGGATCCCGCCCGCGCCGGGGGCTGCGGTCGTGCCGCTGCCTCCTCCCCGCACCGCGGCGCGCTACCTCCCGGCCAAACGCTACCAGGTCTGGGGCTTCCCGGGACGCGGGGAGGTCACACACGCGAGTCCAGCACCCGTGCGCACGCTTTCTCAGCCGCCTCCGGGGACGAGAGCGGCTCACCCGAAAGGGGCTGCTCCCGCCCCTCGGCTTCTCCCTCCGCCGCACCCCGCAAGCCGCTTTCCAGCAGCAGGAACCATCTCTCCCCTTCTTGGGGCGCAAGGCAGGTTCTCCCCTCGGTGGAAATACGTAAAGCGCTGTCTGCACCGGGAGTGGCGACTCGGGAGGAAAGGTGAAGGAAGAAATTCCAAAGGCCCTACTCCCTCACTGTCTCCCGCCATTCCCACACGAGTCTCCCGGATGTCACCCCTTCCCCCGCGGCGGTTTAAGAGACCAAGACGGTGGCGGCTCCCTTTGCTGCAAGAGGAGGGAATTCGATTCTGGTCCAGCCTCCGGCGCCCAGAGTTTCAGGGGACTCCAAACTGCGTCCTAGTTTCAAGGCCATAGGGGTAAAATTAATTAGCCAGTAGGTCTCCTCCTTCACTTTGTACTCACCATCAGTTCCAGCTTATCGACCTCCGCCTCCATGTTGAATAGTTGACATTCCTCAGACCCCGGCGGTGCTTAAGCTGCAAACCTTACTAGCACTGAGGATCTCTATTGGACAGCTGTCATTCAACATCTCGCACTCATTGGCTCTTCTAGTTCACCTGCTCCCGCCCATTGGCGACGGGGTAACGCCCCTCCGCATGAAACACAATTTCCTGTTGGACAAAGACACAAAATGCCACAGGGCGATTGGCTGATGTACGTATATTTTTTTCTATTGGCTGCCCTCTCTTCTCCACTTTCAATTTCATAGGGCTCCGTAGAGAAGAGCTTGCTATTGGAACAATCAGAAGAAGAAGAAACCAATTACACGAAAGCTTCCACCGACAACATAGGGGACGTGACACACCTTCTTTCCTCTCCGGCTCCCCCACCACTTCTCGCCCGCCTTCCTCTTATTCATAGCAGAAGCGCCTCAGCGCTGATTGGTCGGAGCGTGGTGCGATTTCAGCCAATCATAAGCGAAGCTGGGCTTCTACACTACCAAGAGAGCGAATCGTGGGGAGAGCACCCCTACGATTGGTCCCTCTATGACAAGGTTTTAATTTTGAATCTTTCTTTATGGCGTGAAGAGACCGCTGTTCGGACTCCGTCTAATCCCCAGGCTGTCAGACTAGTAAGTGCAGGGACGATTCCTTTTTTGTTACGTGGGCTCACATCTTCTGTAGCTGGGCCTTTTGCTGCTTGTGTTTTTATTGCTTAAGGAGCTGAGGACTTTGGCTGGGCTGGGGGGAGAAATGGAGCAGGAAAGGGGGAGCTTTGGGGCTGCGGAAGAAGCGCTCTTCCTGCCTCCTTCCGAATCCACTTCTGATTAACACTGCAAAATGTGTTTTGGAACAAAGCATCTGCTTTCCTTTTTCTCATTCCTTTGCATCTCTGGTACTCAAAATGGGTCCTCGAACTAGCGACAATAGGATCTCTGTATTGCTTGTTGCAAATGCAAATTATCGAACTCCACCCAGATCTACTTATTTGGAATATACATTTTGACAAGACCTTCCTGTGAGGTATATTCTTTTACTTGGGAACACTAACATGTTCTGTGATGTAGTATTCATGCCGTCCGACATTCTGTGAGTGTCAGTTTAAAAGGTGTTCCCTTTTTACTAACTGCCCAATACTATGCTGGAAGAGACTTTAGCGGTCTCCTTTGGGAAACAAGATAGAATCTTTAAAAAAAGCAACGCTCTACAACATAAAGCATAAAACTAAATCTAAGCTACTATCAAAAACAGCATTGTGGTGTTCAAGATGAGCTGATTGCACTAGTAATAAAAACAGAGTTGGCTGAAGCCCAAGTGTAGCGTGTAATACAGTGCAACTGTCATTTTCGTTCTGACTCAGCTTTGGAAGTGCCTTGACTAAAGAATTTTCATATTATCCGATGGAGTTTTAGCAGAAACAGCAGTGCCAACTCCTGCAAAAGACTGTAATTCTTACTCTGCTACTGCATCTTTCTACTTGAAAGGTTTTTCTATTCAAAAAGTTTTGGACCCATCTTTTAATCATATTAAGATGTATGCTAAGATGAAAAACTAAAACTTTTCCCAATGAAACAATTTCACAGCATTTAATGGTATAAAAGTATATTCCATAACTAAAAGAAAGAGCACTTGCTAGTTAACACTTAGAAGGAATGATTTCTTCCATCCATTTATTAAAATGGAACATTATTTAATGGCTGTTATCATCTAGATACTAATGACACGAAGATGACTAAAATTTTATTCTAACCTTAAAAAAGCTCATGGCCCAGTGGGGTGCAAACATGCAAACAAAAACTACAGTGCAGTTTAATAGAGTTCATAATAAAGGTGCATATGTGACCATGCATGGTGATCCACGCCTGTAATCCTAGCACTCCTGGAGGCTGAGGCAGAAGGATTATGGAGCCCAGCCTGGGCAGCCTAATCATTTAGCAAGAACTTTCCTCAGTACAAAAAATTTTAAAAGGTTAGCTCAGGTTGAAGCCCCTGGTCTCAGTCCCTAGTACCTTAAAAACAACAAAGTATATGAAATGCTATAGACACCCTAAAGAGATGATATTTCTGCCAGTATAAACACCATAAGACCAGAATCTGTTGATCTTATTTAGAATTGTATCACAACACCTAGCATTTGAAATAGTCGACTAATATCTGTAAAACAAAAGTAATAAAATCTTATCTGGGCATAGTGCCACATGCTTCTAATCCCAGGGCTCTGGGAGGCTGGAGCAAGAGGATAACAAGCTCAGAGGGTGAAGTGGAGGAAGGGATAGAGAAGGGAAGTAAAATGAATGAAGTTTTGTTATATGTGTATACTAACACCTGACTCTGAAAGTAATCATTCTATACTAGAAACGTACTAATGAAAAAATTTTTAATTAAAAAAAAAAGAGGATCATCAACTAGAACCCAGCCTGGACAGCCTAATGACTTAGTAAGACCCTGTCTTAAAATAAAAATTAAAGGGCTGCAGATATAGCTCAGTGTGACAGCTCTGGGTTCAATCCTCAGTACCACCAGAAATAAATAAATATATAAACAAGCAAACCAAATCTTGAGGGCTAGTGTAAGAGGACCTGGAAGAGGACACCGCAAATAGGAAGAAAAGTTGATAACACTGTAGAAAATGTTTGGTAGACCTGAAATACAAACTTCTGGTCACTAAAAGAAATGCTGCAAAGGGCCATTAGAACTAAATAGTGAACAGGTTTTGGAGTCATGGTAAAGAATTATTTAGAGTTTGTTTGTTTGTATAAGGTACAGAAGCCAGCATCTTGCACATGCTAGGAAAACATTCTACCACTGAGCTACCCACTCCTTAAATTGTTAAAGAAAAGATTCTTTGATTACACTTGTTAAAGCATAGTAAGGAAGACTTTATTCAGGACTATTGCAATAGTTATAGAGACCAACGTATCTCTAGTGAGATACATCACAGACAACTGCAAATTCATAGACAAAGAGCAAAGTTAGGAGATGGAAAATAACTAAGAGGAAACACCAGAGAGAAGGGGATTCTGTTTACAGAGACTAAACAGGATTCTTCCTGAAGACAAATCGAAGTAATCAGACATCAACTAGGAGATGGTGGAGGATGAGGAACCCAATAAGATATTGGGGTTTGGAGATGGTTTATGCCCAACTGATTTAGCAGCATTCACTGCTAAAACTTAATTTGGCCAAGGAGAACATAGATAGATAGATAGATAGATAGATAGATAGATAGATAGATAGATGGATAGGTTTAGGAGGAGGTCAGGAGTCTGACAGAAGTGTGATCAGAAACAGAATCTTTGTCAGAATCAATCTACCAGGTTTAATTAGAAAGCTCACTTCCCTTTTAAAGTCTATTTTGTAATTTAAGGGTTGGTAATAGAGGGAAAAAAACAACAGGAGCCTGAGTCTGTGGACCAGTTTGATCATTACAAAAGACATCACGGAGAAAGTGAAAGGAAACAGGAAAAGACTGAAGGGACAGATAAAGGCCAAGGAAATAAAGGTTGCGGTGGGAATCGCCAATCCTGGGAATCCCAGCTGTGTATAACAATGGTGTGTGAGGTGGGGAAGAACAAATTTTATTCCTCTACCCACAGGCAGGCTGACATTGGAGTGAATATCAGCAAATATGTAAAGGGGGGACTGAGTATATATAGGTCTTAAGGTGAGGGGTGCAGTTTTAAGGAATCTCAAAGAATCTGGATGAAGTGTTTGAGTTTAAGGCTGTACAGACAATCTGTACAGGTTGGTACAGAGAGCTGGCATCAGGGGACTGTAGTGTGACTGTAGCCTGACATTAAATTTTTTATTACCCTTATTTCTTGTTTACCAGAGGCAAGCTATTGCTTCTCATTGTTTATAAGGATAAGCATGGGGTCTGTCATGTCAGGCCTGACATTGTGGATTCTAAACCTTGGATAGGGGTTTCCAGAAAAGGTTCTCATAGATCTGATGAGATTTAATTTTTTTTTTCTCCAGGTAACCACAAGATTACTACTTTCTCAGAGGTTCTCATAAATACATTCAGAATATTTTTATAGGAGTAGGAATGTAGTTCAGTGGTGCAGCTCTTGCCTAGCATTCTCAAGGCCCTGGTTTGAATTCCTAGCACTGCAGGAAAAAAAAATTAAAATAAAAAAATTTCATTTTGAGGCTTTAAGAAAAAACCAGGTGTAGTTGCACACACCTGTAATCCCAGCACTCAGGAGACTGAGGCAGGAGGATCGTTGCGAGTTTGAGGCCAGCCTGGCTACAAAGTGAGCTCAAGTCCAGCCCGAGCTGCATAGCGAGATACTGTCTCGAAAAAATGACAAAAACAAAACAAAACAAACAAAAAAAAAACCCATCATGCGAAATTAAGTGACTTAGCATTACCCTGTAATTAAAAAAAAAAAATTAGAAAACTTTTTTAAAAAATTAGAAAAGCCTGAGGGTGTAGCTCTGGGTTCAATCCCCAGTATCACCAAAAACCAAACAACCCACTGATTTCTATTTCATAATCCTTGCTTAGCGTTCCTTCATGGGGCGGGGCCAGGAGTCGTAATATAATAAAGGTAACACATGTCTCCCAAACTTCTAAGAGCATTTTATAAAAATATGCTGTTAATTCAGGACCTGACAATGAGTCCTAATGATGTTATCAACAATCTGCCCTTCTGGGAGAGCTATTGCTATGTGAACTGTTGCCTTTTGCCATTAGGGGTCGCCTCTACAGGTCCGCGGAGGGAGGAGATTGCGCCGCCAGTAGAATCCGAGAACTGAGTAAGTGCACAGCTGCATACTAAGTGCAGAAAGGTTACCGAGTGCACAGAAGTGGAATGAATGTGTATTTTAAAGGCCGATTGTCCCTATGCAAATGTAAGTTTGAAGGGAAAGAGGCCCAGGCCTTGTCTGCTACTTGAATAAAGTCTTTGTTCCTCAGGTAGCAACAATTAAACCCGCAAAGCCCTTCTGGAGCTTGAGATCACACTAGCTTGGACTTAACCTTCTTCAAAAAAGGATAGGGATTAAAATATAAATATACTCGATAATGTTTTAAAACATTTATATCTTGGGCTTGGGGAAATTGTGATTTCATTATGTAGTGCCTACTTTGCACCATAGTCTAGTAAAACAAAAAAGATCTTTGAAGACTTACAGATCTGGACTCTATCCTCTATTGCATTACACTGGATAGATGATCTAAATTCTGTAGCCCTCAGTCTGTTCTTGTGTAAAAGTGGGAATACAGTCCTCCTTATTGGGGAGAATATTTTTTAGGACAGTGAAGATTAACTGAGGAAATGTATGTGAAGGTATTCATGGCTAGTATAACTCTCCATGATACCCACGCTGCATTCCCCAGATGCATCGTATACTTTTATCTCTGCTCTTACCCTCTTTTTCTACTTCTTGACCCAAGCCCGCTCTGCAGAGCCAGTTTCTCTCCCACTCTTCACTTTTGCTCTTGAATAAGCTGCTATAAAGAAATAGCTAATGTTGTTTTCCTCCTCCCGCAACTAACTCAAATGTTCAGTAAATGTTCCTGGTAAAGAAACAGCCTTTTAAGTGGGGTGTGGTGGTGCACACTTGTATTCTCAGCACTCTGGAGGCTGAGGCAGAAGGATCAATGCAAGTTCAAGGCTCTCCTGGGCTACATAGTGAGTTTAAGGTCAGCCAGAACTAAATAGCAAGAGTGTGTCTCAAAAAAAATTTAAAAATTAAAGAAGAAAAAAGAAAAGGGAAGTGCCAAGAACAATGGGAGAAATATGTTCAAACCAAGGGTAAATGGATTAATGGTAATGTACATTTCACTGTGATAAATTCTTAAAATTTAAACATTCATTGTATGTGTTGATCACCCCTTGTACACTTAAGGTTTGTATAACATAGATATTTCAATAAAAATATCCTTAAAAATTTCTCCACAGAAATCATGCCCAAGTTCAGACAACGAAGAAGAAAGCTAAAAGCTAAAGCCAAGAGATTAGTCAAAAAAAAAGAAGCCTCTCAATTCCAATCCAAACTAGTTACCCCTCCCCCTCCACCACCCTCACCAGAAAGGTAAGATATAATGTAGAACAGAGAAAATATTAGAGAGATTTGAGAAGTTCAGAGTTACCAGATTTAGCAAATAAAAATATAGACATGGAATCAAATTTGAATTTCACACTAACAATAAATTTTAGTATAAATGTGTCCCATTTAACAATGAAGTATAATAAAATTATTCATCCTTGGGCCAGATACTCACCTGTAATCCCAGTGACATGGGAGGCTGAGCTAGGAGGATCACAGGTTCAAAACCAACCTGGGCAACTTAGTGAGACTCTGCCTCAAAACAAAATTTTGAAAGGGACAGGGATATAACTCAGTGGTAGAACATTTGTATAGCACATGTAAGGCCTGGGGTTCAATCACCAATATTATACAAGAAAAAAAAATTCAGGTCATCCTGTACTTTTCATGGCAACCATAGTTCAAGAGTTAATATGAAAGTCATTCCAGGTGTGGTGGTACACACTTTGAATTCCAACACTCAGGAGGCTGAGGCAAGAAGATCTTTGCAAGTTTGAGGCCAGTCTGGGCTCTATAGTGAGTCCAGGCCAGCCTGAACTATGTAGAGAATTGTTTCAAAAACAAACAAAAAAAAAGAAAGGTGCAATGACACCTACCTGTAATCCCACTATTCTGGAACACTCCAGCAAGAGAGCTGCAAATTTGAGCCCAACAGGACCCAGGTCGCAAAATATTTTTTTAAAAGGGAGAGGATGCCACGGGAATAACTCAGAGATAGAACCCTTTAAGGCCCTGGGTTCAATCCCCAGTAGCACCAAAGGGAAAAAAAGTTCACATCAAGTGAGAATCACAAGAAATTGTGCTCAAGCACACCATAACTATGGTCTCTTCCTGGTGAATTTAATTGCATAAGTCTAGCAATTAAGTGATGAACAGGAGGCATAGGAATAGAATTTATTTTTTTTTTCTTTTATATTCTTTTTTTTTTTCCGGTACCAGGAATCAAACTCATGACCTTGAGCTTGCCAGGCAGGCGCTGTGCCGCTGAGGTAAAGTCCCAGCCCGTAGGAATAGAATTTAAATCTTAGGTTTGGTAAAGTTTGGTCATTTTTCTCTGGGACTCACAAGTTAAATGTGCTATTGAAAAAGGTATTGGTTTTTGCAGTCACATATATTTCTTTGTTGTTACGGCACTCTCTTTTTGAATTTTATTTATATATGTTGGTATTTCTGGGTGTTGAATCCAGAGCCTTGTGCATTATACATCCCACCCCGGAGCTATACTCCCAGCCCTATAGCTCTCTTTATAAAAAGCTTTTAAAATAATCAGGCCCTCAAAAAACAATTACTCACCAGGCATGGTGGCGCATGCCTGTAATCCCAGCACTCGGGAAGCTGAGGCAAGAGGATCACTGCGAGTTCAAGACCAGCCTGGGCTACAAAGTGAGCTCAAGGCCAACCTGAACTGCATAGTGAGACCCTGTCTCAAAAAAGACAGAAAAAAAAAAAGCAGTAACTCACCAGGTATGGTGGTGACACACACCTGTAATCCCAGCAGTTGGGAGGCTGAGGCAGGAGGATTGCTGAGATCTTGAGCCTAGCCTGGGCTACATAGTGAGTTCAAGGCCAGCCTGGACTACATCCTGGACTACATAACCAGACCCTGACTTTAAAAAAAAACAAAAGCAGTAACTCTCCAATGTCTTACTTTATCAGGATAAAACTTAAAGTCCACAGTATAACCCACCAGTCTTTTATGATTTTTTTTTTTTTGGTCTTTTTTTTGAGACAGGGTCTCGATATGCAGTTCAGACTGGCCTTGAACTTACTTTGTAGCCCCGGCTGGTCTCGAACTAACAACTATCCTACTGCCTCAGCCTCCAGAGTGCTGGGATTACAGGTGTGCGCCACCATGCCCAGCCCAGGCTTTTATGATCTGACTCTGACCTTATTTGCTAATCCCTTTCCCTTCAGTCTTTCACCCTAGACCTCCTAGCCTCCTTACTATTCCTCAGACACTTCAGGTGAGCCCACGCCTCAGGGGCTTTGGACTTAATGTTGATCTTCTGAGGCTCCCTCCTCTCGCATATATTTTTGTTTCTTTGTTTTTTGTGGTACTGGGGATTGAACTCAGGACCTGTGCACTGAGCTATATCCCCACTCCCCCCGCCTTTTTTTTTCATTTTGAGTCGTGGTCTCCTAAGTCTCTAAGTTGCCAAGGCTGGGCTTGAACTTGTGAGCTTCCTACCTCCCAGAGTGCTGGGATTCCATATATGGGCTGTCACACCTGGCCTCTCAGATATTTGACTGCTAACTTCCTTACTTTTGTATGATTTTTCTCAAAAGTCACCTTCTCAGTGGCACTCTCTTTGACTTTTTTTTTTTTTTTTTTTTTTGTCTTTTTGAGACAGGGTCTCGATATACAGTTCAGGCTGGGTTTGAGCTCACTTTGTAGCCCAGGCTGGTCTCGAACTTGCAATGATCCTCCTGTCTCAGCCTCCCAACTGCTGGGATTACAGGCATGCGGCACTATGCCCAGCTTCTCTTTGACTTTTAAACCTAAAATTTCATCCCATCCAACATTTGCACACTCCCTTGGTTTCTTTTTTTCGCTAGCATGTATTCAGTATCTAACAAACCATACTTACATTGTGAGTTTTTTTGTTGTTTTTTGTTTGTTTGTCTGTTTTGGTTTTTTTCAGACAAGGTCTCACTATGTACTTCAGGCTTGCCTTGAACTCACTATGTATCCAGACTAGCTCCAAACTCACAATGATCCTCCTCCCTCAGTCTCCCGAGTGCTGGTATTACAGGTGTGCGCTACCACACCCAGCTGAGTCCCTGAATTCTAGAATTTAATGGAAGATTTGGCTTTAGAAAGTCCCTGCTCCTTTCACACTATAAAACCAGCTTCTTGGGGCTGAAGTTGTAACTCAGTGGTTGAGATAATACTATATATATAATATATATAAAAATAGAATATATATATATGTAAATAGAATCAAGTCAAGCATGGTGACATGTGCCTGTAATCCTAGGACTCAGGAGGCTGAGGCAAGAGGATTGCCACCAGTTTGGGGCCACCCTGAACTACATAGTGAGACCCTGTCTCAAAAACAACAACAACAAATAAACAAACAAAAACAGTAAACAGAATTGATTTCTTAGGGTTTTTTGACTCACTTTGTTTGATTCTGTTTTTCCTACAGAACGGTTATTCCTTCAACAGTTCTACCCCATAGTACAAACTGGCTCAGACCATCCTGGAACTTCAAATTTCCCAACATCAAAGACGTGATAAAATGTTGGACAAATAGAGTGTGGTCAGTGTACAGCTGGTGCCAGAGCTGTGTAGCACAGGTATGCGTACCTGTTTGCAGCAATGTGGTTTTCTGACAGACCAGGGGTTTATTTGAGTGTGCTCAGGTCAGCAGAATGCTCAGGCTAAGCTCAGGCAAGATGAATTTTGGTGGTCTTGTGTGCCTTTGGTTGTGGAGGAAATGTATCAAACCATTTTCTGGTTCCACTTTCCCCCCCTCTTTACTATATTTCTCATAAGATTCAGACTTGTTTATTATGAATTTCAGAGTTTAGAAATATTGAAAGATACCATCTTTCCATTCCGAAGCTGCCATCGAGAACTTCATAGTCTACAACAACAAGTTTGCGTTTTGGAAAGTGAATTATGCAAGCTCCAGGAGACACTGAAGGTGGGTATTGTCAAATAAAAAATAAATCCATAATTTTCCAGGCATAGTGGCACATGCCTGAAATCCCAGCACTCAGGCTGAGGCAAGAGGATCCCTGTGAGTTCAAGGCCAATCTGAACTACATAGCAAGACCCTGTCTCAAAAAAAAAAAAAAAAAGTCCACAATTAGGTAAAGAGAGATTTTATACAAAAAGATTATTGCAGTAGGGGAAGTGTTCAGCCACAAGATCTATAATTATCTCAAATATCAGGCAGAAAGAGACCAATTCAGTTTTATATCTAATACAGATGTTATATTGAATTGTTCTCCAATTTGCTTTCTTTACTGAACAATGTTTTAAAGATCTGTGCATGTTGCTTAAGTGTAAATCAATCCATCCTCTGTAATTTTAATTCTAATTCTAATTGTCATCATGTGACTCTATCACATTTTACTTCCCATTTCTCTCATGATGGATATTTAAGACTTGTTTTCAGTTTTTGCTATTATAAAATACTGCATAAGAGCAAAAAACAACAAAAAACAAAAAAGACCAATTCGGTCCTATTACTATAGAGAAAAGCAAAAATGTGTATTGAGAGGGAGGTAGTAATCTCTCCCACCCACAAAACAGAAATGCACAATAAACTTTAATGAGTAACATTTTTAATCCACCAGATTGGCAAAACAAACTAACAAAAACCCAAAAGGAAAAAAACAAACAAACAAACAAA